CTCTATCCCCATGGAACAAAAGCCGTCATTGCCTGGGAGAAAGGCAAAAACCGCGGTTTCCCTAAGGGAAATGGTAAAAACCTACTGCAGCTTAGGATAGGGGGATGGGAAATGAAAAGGGACCTCTAGACCGGGGGTGGGACAGGAACACAGGGAAGGCCACAACTCTAGTCACAGGGACACAGCCACTGCCTAAGATCAAGGCCTAATCACAGCGTACCCCGCTTGCCCGCCACCCGAGACTATAAAACACAGTAAGCAGCAGCAGCAGCGTGTGCCTGGGAGAGGGGCATGAGAGCACATGGGGGGCCTGCCCGAGCCGCAGCACAGAGGAAAGGCTGAAATTGAAGGTCAAGCAGACATGGAGAAAACCTCGTCAGCAAATCAGCCCCCACCCTCAGAAACAAGGTAACGCCGGAGGAATCTGAAGTGCTCGGTGTACAGGAGGTAACCGCAGCAACCCTAGGCATTCGGTAATACTGAATTATATAGTATATACGTACTAATATAAATGTTTTAATATAATATGTTGATACAGTAACTCATATAATTCGAAATGCAGTACGCAACAGAACAAGTAGAGAATAAGAATGGATTGGAACACCCAGGGGTGCTGGACTAAGTCAATCTAATTAACGTTTATAGAATATTCCACCCAACTAGAGAAGAATACACGTCAGTTTCAAGGGCACATGGCATTTTCACCAGGATGGACCATAAAATGTCACAACCAGGTGAGCCTCATCCTGGGAACGTAAACCTTCTTCAGCTTTGAAAATCAAAATAATGTAAGAAGAAAAAACAGATTAATAATCTCAACAGATAGAATTTTTTAAATTACTACTTACAATAGCCTACCTTCCCCTCCAAAAAAAATACTTAGGTATAAATCTAATATGTGGAGGATCTGGATGTTCAAAAAATCTAGCGATATGAAAATATTACAACAAAACACTGAGTGAAAACAAGGTACAAAATAGTATGTACTTTACAGTCAGAATTTTATAAAATGAACTCAAACCAAATATTTTTTTGCATAGGGAAAAAAAGGCTAAAGAAGGCCTTTAAGGCCTTTAAAACAGTGTCTCTTTGGGGGCGCCTGGGTGGCTCAGTCGGTTGGGCGTCCGGACTTTGGTTCAGGTCACGATCTCACGGTTCGTGAGTTAGGGCCCCGCATCAGGCTCTGTGCTGACAGCTCAGAGCCTGGAGCCTGCTTCCGTATTCTGTGTCTCCCTCTCTCTCTGTCCCTCTCCCCCACTCACATTCTGTCTCTCTCTCAAAAATAAATAAACATTAAAAAATTTTTAAAGCAATGTCTCTTTGGTTTTTTGTTCTTTTTTTATGGTTACTTATTATTATTATTTATTTTGAAAGAGAGAGAGAGAGAGAGAGAGAGAGAGAGGAAGAGACAGCAATTGCACGAGCAGGGGAGGGGCAGAGAGAGAATCCCGGGCAGGCTCTGAACCGTGAGCATGGAGCCCGATGCAGGCCTCGATCTCACAAACCTGAGAGAAAGAAATGAAGAGTTGGACACTCAACTGACTGAGCCACCCAGGTGTCCCATGGTGTCTCATAATCACAAAGTGTTTTAAAGAAAATCAACCTGAAATTAATGTAAACAATTTGTAAAGCTAATCCCTTTGCTGCCACCTGGGTCTGTAAAATGTACTTCATGGAGTCTCGTTAGGTTAGTTTCTTTAGAACTAGTTCCATATGCTCTTGAAATCATTCACTGAAAATAAAGTTCTGTGGTCAAAGGAGTTTAGAAAACACTCATGTAATGAACTGGTTTCCCAACTGCAGAATTAATTAGAATCACGCTGTTCTGGATCCTTAAGGGAATATAGTTTGCTATATTTTTATAGCCTTGCAGTGTTTCCCAAATCTATCTGAATGCGGTACTTGCGGAGGGGAGAGCGAGACGTATGGGACAGGGTTGTTTCGGCTGACCTTCCAAAGTAGGGTGCAGACATCACAATATTTTGCTTCTAAATACTTCAGTGTGTATCTCCCAAGAATAAGGGACTTTCTGCTACTTACCCATGATACCATCGTCACATCCAAGAAAGTCAGATTACTTCCCTAACATCTAATCTCTCTAGTCCAAATACAGAATTCCCGTTTTCCCAAAAACTGGTTTTACAGTCAGTTTTTTAAGGTTCTCATGTTATGTTTGTTATTTCCTCTTAATACAAAACAACACCCGTTTTTTTTCTTTCTTTTTTTTTTTTTTTTTTTTTTGACATGGCTTTTTATTTTTTTCCCTCAGGAGACCAGTCTCATTGAATTGCAGAAATCCCATGTTTCATCTAATTGTTTCTCCGTGGTGTTATTCAGCCTGCTCCTCTATTTCCTGTATTTCCTGTATATTGACACTTATGTTGAGAGGCTCGGAGTCAAGTTAAATACTTTTAGGAAGAATATGATGCTGGGTGTCTCATACTCCATCCTAAGAGGAGACACACAACAGGCCATCGCATTAATAACACCGCTAAGCTTGATCAGTGTATTGAGGTGGTGACACCAAATCTCTCTGTTGCAAAGGTACATTTGCCCCTGTTGTTATCAGCATTGTGATAACTTCCTCATTGTCCTCTCAACAACCTTTTAGGTGACGGTTTTTGTAGTCGCTGATGGTCTCTGCAGGACTACCCATTATTTCATTGGGTTTCTTACTAGTTTTCATTTACCTTTTTAAAATTTCTTACAGGCAAACTTACTTTGTGATGTACATGTATGTGAGTTCTGACAAATACAGAGTTGTGTATCTACCACAATAATCCAGACACAGAATAGTTACATCACTTCAAAAAATGCCCTTGCGCTGTCCCTCGGGGTATCCTAAATGAAGTTTGAGTACGAAACCCAGGCTCAACAGCTTTGCTCCAACTGTACTTGTCCCATAACATTTCCTGCCATGCCTAGTAGTGATTAAACCCCTCTGTGCATAGGAATAAAATCATGAAAACTTGTTTTAATAGAGGCTCTGGGGCCCTACCCCCAGAAGTTAGGACTCCAAGGCTGAGGCATGCTGTTAGCGATTGTGATACTAGTAATCCCTGGAGGAGACACGATGTAATGATACGAGAACAGCCCTAACTCTCTACCTTTCCTTCTATCCATCCTCTTTGCAACGTGACTTTGCAGCTCCTGCCATGAGGAGGTGGCTTCTATTTCTGCATCCCAGGAGTCTGGGCGGCGACTTGTTTCAGCAACAAGTACAATGGAATTGACAATGCACCAGCATAAGCCTCATTTTCACTCTCTCAGAGCCCTTGGGCTGAGGCCTGGTGGATGAGCCTGGGCCAGCCGGCTGGATGAGGAGGGGTGCATGGCCTCATCTCCACCATCGCCTCACACGATGCTCACTCAGGTGAGTGAATGGGCTCATCCGGGGGCAACCAACTCCAGGTGACCCACCGCAGACACCTTAGCACAGAGGCCAAGCCAAGATTGCTTAAGCTTGGCCAGCTGACCTATATGCTCTAGAGCAAGAAAAAATATTTATTGTTTTTAGTTGTGTGTGTGTCTGTGTGCGTCCGTGAGTGTGTGTTTAGTGATCTGTGACATGGTAATAGGTGACTCATACACCATAATTCTGATACGCTTCACCCAAGAAATACTGACTTATCTCTTCTCCATTTCTCTCACCGCCTTCCTCATTTAGGCTTTCATTTCTTGCTCGGACCACTGCTGTCACTCAACCTCCATGCTCACTGCTGCTGCTGCTGACTGTATTCTTTACAGTCAGAAGGCAAGTTGTCATAACTGATGCATTCTTATCATCTAGCATAATGCCTGGTCCCCCAACAGGCGCTCAGTCCTTCTTTGTGGTGCCGAGAGATTCGTAAAGCACGGCTCTGATCACGTCCCTGGGCACACAGGACTCTACCGGCATTCACACCACATTCCAGGTCCATTTTCCACTTGGCCTATTTAATTCTAGGACCTCTGGGATCAGGCCACAGCCTTGCTTCCCACTCTTCTTCCCAGTCTTCTCTTAATGCTCCCTTCGAAAGTGAGGGCTGATGGACCACGCGCTTGCTGCCCGGTCTACGGGACACTGACTCCTGCCTGGAAGGCCTGCCTCCATCTCTGCAAACTCCACACGTCCTGGAAGGTCCAAGTCTTCTGGGAGCGTCTGGTAGCCGTGGTTAAGGAAGAGTTCCCCCCTTTCCCCTGCCTCTACCAGTTGGCCTGAGCCTCTCGGGGCTGAGCACTCCCACCTGAGCACCTGACACGATGGTTACCTGTTCCTTGTGGCATCTAGCAGGCATCTCCTCTACCTGAGATTGCGAGCTTGTTGAGGGAGAGTCCATCTTTTACCTCTCTGCATTCCCTGTGGTACCTAACACAGTCCATGAAACACAGCAAGACCTTAATAAATGCGTATTGAATGGATGAATGGATGGTTTTTCGTCACTAGTAAAACAACAGTAACAGTAATAAGCCAAACTCACAACAAAGATGGCAAAAATAAATACAGTGCTTTTCATATATTGGTCTGTAAAAGAATCTTCTGGAAAGCCTGCTCAAAATACACATTCCTAGGCTTTGTCCCCAGAGAGACTGGTTCAGTAGGTCAGGAGTGGAACCCTAAGTTTGTGTTTTGGGGGAAGGTTTGTGGGCAATATTTTGATATACAGTGGTATATACCTGCTTTATAGGTATGGATTCCAAGGCAAACTCCTTCCTTCATGCACCTATGAAATTTTTTTTTTAAGTTTCCTGACTTTAGTGCCAAAGCATTGTGTGCAGTGAACCTATAAAAAGAACAGCTTTAACAATACATACATAGTCTGGCACCTCATTAGCTTAGGTTGCTGGGAATATGGCATCACACCGCATTCTTTGTAATGACAATCTACACATATTTTTTTTTATCTACATACCCTTTTTATAACCTATTTAAAGTTTAATATGTGACAAATAGTCCTTTTTCAGACCGTCTCACTGTGTGATGCATGCTTTAAAAAAAGAGAAGGGAGCCAAATTCCTACCTCGGTCCCAGAGGCTGGCTCTTAACGCTCTCTCCAGTTGTTCCTCTTCACTCAGTCCTGCTGTGTATGCGTCATAGTCCCTGGGTACTTCTTCAGAGTAACCTGGCATGCCGTGGGGGTAATAATCCTGATATCTGGAGTAGCCTACAGTCACAAGGAAAAGGTTACAGAACATTGCCATGTACTGTTCTTTTCACTCTCTCTATTTCATTAAGCAAAGACAGTAAAATGACCTACGTCATCAATCTGAGCACAGTGATACTTGCCAAAATAAAACCAGACGACAAATGGAGAATGCCCCCGTGGGGGTGGGCAGTCATAAGTCTTATCACTGTTGTACCCACGGTCCCCAGCGTGAAACTGGAGTGGATTCTTCCAGTTCAGAGCTACACAATCCTTGGGGAATGTTCTGTGAAGTGCTCACGAAAGTCAAGGGAATGGCTGACATGATAGCTGATAGAGCCTTTCTGTCTGTGGCTCCATACAATGAGAGGCAGACTACCATTTAAGGCAGAAACCACAGGATTTCTGTGCTGGGTATGATACTTTGGACACTAATAACTACAGTGAGATATACAAGGCAGTGTCTCTGTAATTATAATTGTATGTCAAAGAACATGGCTTCTATCAATGGTCCTTTCAAGAAATTGGTTGCTGGGTAAAACGAGAGAAGAAACAACCTGCTCATTAAATGATGCTTTAAGTATCAGACTTACAAAGCCCATTACTAAAGGTCAATTACAGAGCAAAGTTCACTTCTGCAAGGGGTTTCCATCAATCTTAAGTTAATTTGAGTTTATTCCTCACATTTCCTTTAACTGCCCACTTTTATGTAATTTGTTTGGAAGAGAATTTTTTCCCTCTAAAGATTACCAATCTAATTCTGGTGTAATAAGAGAGAAGTTAATAATAGTCTGTTTATCCCTTCTTTCCTTCTATTATCATAACCTTTGGAGGGGAGTTTTTAAATGTTTAATTAATGTGCTTTTGGTTGTTGATGAAAATTCCTACCCTGTATCCTTAAGTCCTGTGTCATATGTCTCCATATCATCCAACATAGTACATGCCTGAGTTTAAACTTCTTATTGTTTTAGTAAGAGTACGGGGGGGAAAAAAACCTGACAATCAAGCTAAAAAAGAGGAACGTTGTGGGGCAGAGTCTGGTTAATTAAGATTTCACATTCAGAATATTTGATAATTGGTCCTGAGGCTATTTGAAAATTTACTTTTGTGTTGGTTATAAATAAAATGCAAGATTAAAAGGGAAACAGTTTAAGTATCTCCCATGGGAATTTTCAGGCACTCAAAAAGTCTTTATTTTCATAGAAACAGTGAAATGATAATAAAACACACTGATCTAGTTTCAGCTGATAATCTAATGTAATGATACACATTTATACAAATATTTGTCATGCAAAGTATATGTGTCTATTCATTATGTTTTCATAGCAGCTTTAAGGGGATATAATTGACATATGATATAATTCACCAATTTAAAGTATACACCTCAATGGCTTTTAGTGTATTCATGGAGTTGTGCCATCACCACAACCAATATTAGAACATTTTCATCACCCTAAAAAAGAAACCTGTACCCGTTAGCTATCGTCCCCTGTCCCTCCCAGCCCTAAGTAACCACTAATCTACTTTCTGTCTTTATAGCTATGACTATTATGGACAATTATATAAATGGAATCATGTAATATGTGGTGATCCGTGTCTGGCTTATTTCATTTAGCATAATGCTTTCAAGGTGCATCCACGTTGTAGCATGAATCCGTACTTCATTCCTTTTTGTGGCCAAATAATATTCCATGTGTGATTATATCACATTCATCAATTGATAGACATTTGGTTTATTTCCACCTTTTGACTCTTGTGAATAACATTCATGGGCAAGTCTTTAAATGGACACATGTTGTCATTTTTTTTTTTTTAACAGAGAGAGAGAGAGAGAGAGAGAGAGAGAGCGAGCATGAGCAGGGGAGGGGCAGAGAATGAGAAGGTGACACAGAATCTGAAGCAGGCTGCAGGCTCTGAGCAAGCCATCAGCACAGAGCCTGATGTGGGGCTCAAACCCACAAGCTGTGAGATCACAAGCTTGTGAGATCACAAGCTGAGCTGAAGTCGGATGTTCAACCGACTGAGCCACCCAGGCACCCTGACATGTTATTTCTCTTGCGTATATACCCAAGAGTGAGATTTCTGGGTCATACGGAACTTCTATGTTTAACCATGTGGAAATGCCAGAATGTTCTCCAAAGAAGCTGTGCCATCTTAAATTTACACAAAGCAATGTTTATGGGCTCAGATTTTTCCAATCTTCACCATAGCCATCCTACTAGGTGTAAGTGGTATCTCATTATGGTTCTGATGATTAATTACACTGAACATCTTTTCATGTGTTTATTGGTCATTTGTATATCTTCTTTGGAAAGCAGTCTATTCAGAGTCCTTGTCTACTCTTCCTGATTATTACAATACTCTTCTACCTTGGTACTGTTTTACTACATGTCCTGGAAAGTCACACACAAAATGAATGATTTAAGTAAACATTAAATAAAAATGTTCAGGATTTTGGGAATTAATTCTGACAAGCTTTGCTTCTAAAGTAGTAAAAAATTAGTGGAAATTTACTAAATACCTCCAATGGCCCAACTTCCACATTGTCTCTCATGTTTCCCATGTCAGAATACTAACATTATGGTATTTAAATTTTTTTTTTAAGGTTTTATTTATTTTTGAGACAGGGAGAGACAGAGCATGAATGGGGGAGGGTCAGAGAGAGGGAGACACAGAATCCGAAACAGGCTCCAGGCTCTCAGCTGTCAGCACAGAGCCCGACGCGGGGCTCGAACTCACGGACTGCGAGATCGTGACCTGAGCCGAAGTCGGACGCTTAACCGACTGAGCCACCCAGGCGCCCCTAACATTATGGTATTTAAAACAGAAAAGGATACGAGCAAAGTGCCCGAATCCTCACAATAGTGTAGGACTGAAGTGGGATCTGGATTCAAATTTAAATATGGACACCTTCTTCAAACTGGTCTCTACTCAACTTTCCTATGAAAAAAAATGAGCTCCCACTGCTATGTTGGGGAACACCCACTAAGCAGGTTTTATATCCTGAGAGTAAAGACTGCAGCAGTGTTACAAATATTGCTTTCCTGAATTCTCACCAAAACAACAGCAACAACAAAACCTTCCACATAAGGGCAAACAGTTAAAATACAGTCAGTATGTCTACTTCACGTAGAACCAAAGACAGGGGCAACTTCCAAAACATAAGGGAATACTTATGGATAAGTCATTAAATACCATGGCATGCTTTAGTAATCCCTGAACAGAGAGACTGCCCAATTCTCTGGGAGTGCCAACTACTTTACTGCAACAGAAAGAAGCATATTGGGCACTTTCCCATATGGCTCATTACCACTTTCAAACCACTGTGGAAAGTTATTCTGTTATAGAAGGTCTAAGCAGCATTTCTACCTATCTACCTTCGAAAATGTTCAGCTAATTCAAAACCCAAAATAACCCCAAAGCACTGAATACCCATTTATACAGATATCAGAATTACTGCATACATCTATAGAGTTTCAATTACCACGTAAATTTGCTACAATTTGAGACAATGTTTTCTTAACACAGAAAAACATTTTTCTTCATGTTATTTCTTAGTTAAAAAACAACCCAGAAGTGCCTGAACGAAATAAAGTCTACAACTCTAAACATCTGAATATTATAAAATCTAATTTGGTACTTGTCAGACAAAACATAGGGTGAAAAAGGAAAAGCTTTAGTAAGTTAAGTCAGAAAGACTAGTGTGGTTAAAGGTTCTCTATCATCAGTCATAAATCATCAAGAAGACTAAAACTCCCATCAATATCTATTATAATGAGAACAGGTCTCCTAGGACAAAAAATTTTCTTCAGCTGTTCCACTGGCTCAATCAGATATTTTTAAATCTTCATAATAAACATGGCTGGAAAAACCCAACAATCAAACACTTAAGATAAATAACTTTAAATTATATCCTGCAATGAATACCAGTTTAATATTCTTCTGTAGCTATATACTTTGGCTCTGTAGTAAAAGAAATTCTGGTTATCATTATTCTATTAACTACTCCATCTGTTCCTTATACACATACCAGGATTTCATGGCAAAAGAGATCAAGAAACACCACCAAGATTAGAAAAATTGGTAACAGCTTTTTAAACATTCATGAGGTTCTTTGACCTATAAAGACTCTTCCAGCTAAGGACGGCCATATTAAAAATAAATCATTACTTGTAAGAGATACACATGCTCTCATACAAGTTCCCTAGATGACCATTAGCATGGCCACCTGGCCTTATGTAGTTCTGCTTTTGAAGAAATCCAGTCACTTCAGAGGAAGGAATATAAATATGGTAATCTTACAGGGGATAAGAGAGAAAGGTAAAAGAGGCTTTTATTTTTGCCCTTAATTCTCTGGTCTGTGTGTCTGCTCTGTGCATGCCTCTTCCAAATGAAAGAGGAAAGGAGCAGGTTTCCCTTTTTACTATTTTTTTTTAATGAGTGCCAAAAAAAAAAAAAAAGGAGGAAAGAGAAGACAGTAAGGGGAACTGCCCTATTTCGTTAGGATAAATCAGCAGAATGTCTGGTTCACCTCCTATCCCTGTACGATAGAAAAAGCAGAGGCTAGGAATTGGTGAGTGGCACTTTTGGTCCTGGTTTTATCACTAACTAGCTGTATGACTTTAGTCAGATTACTTAACATTCCTAAACTTCAATTTCCCAGCTGTCACACAAGACCTTAGGACTAGGGAATCTACAATAGTTTAAGACATACATGTCTGTGCACAAGTATATTCTTATTATTCTCTTTGTCCAGAGGAACATTCCTGTTACTTTTGGGGATTTGACAAATCAACCAGGAGAAAGACCTTTTTTCCTCTACCGATGCCTAGTGTTAGGGGCCATGTTCTCTGCCAAGTAGAGGGGATAAAGTCAACAGAAGTGAGAAATCACAATGGGAGAGAGGACCAAAATGGGTCTTCCTGACCAACCCACCTCTTCCGAGTTACAGGGGCCAATAAAGCTCTTATAATTAAATCAGTGTAAGCTGGTCTCCATAACCAACAGATGAAAGGAATCAATGCTCTTCCAAATGAGTATATTTATCAGCTTAGTCAGTAACTACTCATTGCACTTATCTTTAGGTGAGTCCACAGACAGAGGGAGGTGAGCTGGCACTCCCCAACACCTGTTCCTCTCCTGCACCAAGACCACAGTTGTAACATTTTAAGCATTCAAATTAGCACAGGCAAAAGTCTCAGAAGTGAAATCTTTTCTTGGGGCAGCAACAGTATTCACTTCTATGGTTCCCAAGTCTATGTAAACCCAATCATCTAAGCCTATGATTTTTGTTCTTGATTTCATTAAAACCACCTGGGTAGTTAAGAAAAAAAGTGCAATTCCCTGTATCTGTCCTCATTCTGATTTAATTTGTCTTGGATGAACTCAAGGCCTGGATATACTATAAAAACTCCTCAGGTGCTTCATATGTATAGCCAGGCTTGATAATCATGATCCAAACCTTTATAACGACATCAAACACAGAGCTTGAATATAACTCCAATAGTATCACTCCACTGATTAAATCCTCCAGTGGCACTCTGACACATTCTGGATAATCTCAAACAGGCTCTTTAGTAAAAGCCTGATAATCCCTTTCTTCCCATTGTTTTGCTTAACTTCTACTTATTAATTCAAGACCCATTCTCCACTTCCTCTGAATAACCTCCACCAACTGCAATCTTACTCCTCCTTCTCAGGCTGCACACTGAATGTATCACGCTAATACTGTTGAAATGGATTTCTACCTCTGCTAGAAAGGGTAACTGGAACTGAACTAGCCCTTCCACCATACTCAAGTAGAAAACTGGAGAAAATATATGAAACAAATAGACATTTTGAAATACAATAGACATTGTATTAACAGGCAATACAAGATTTTGAGCCTTGAGAGAAAGGAAATAAGCCTGTAGGTACTTCCCGGACTATGGTACAGGGAAAGGAGACATGAGCAGGTGCAGCAGGGTCCTCGTGATGAGCTGACATTTGCAGGGCAGAGTATAGCAAAGGAGAAAACTAAATGTACAGAAAAACCTTCAGAAATCTGCATGGGTCCTCTGGAGATTTGGCTGAATTACTAAGCCAGGCATGTGTGGGTGAAATACCATGAGACCAAGGAAAGAATGATGAAGATCTACAAGTTGACCAATTCTCAGAGCTCAGGCAGGGCTGGAAGATCTCTGCTTCCCAACCAACCAGAACAGAGAGCCCTTGCTAAACAAAGGCCATTCAGGAGAGACCCCAGAAAAGTGATACCTCAGTTGTAGCACAGAATTAGCCATAGAATAAGAGTTATTTTAGATTCACCTTAAAGAACTTAAAAACAAGTGCCAGAGGGATCAAGCTGATCATCAAGAAACTTAACTCTGTGTCAGAACAAAGTTTAGTTTTCTCTGAAATAAGACAAATTCAACACCACAAAATACACAATGTCTAGTATCTAATCAAAACTTACCAAACAAAAATTGTGACCCACAACCAGGAGAAAAATCAGTGTGTATTGTAGCAGCTATATATATATATATTACATATATATTTATTTATGAGGGGGGGAGAGAGAGAGAGGAGGCACAATTAGGAGCCAGGGACTTTGAACATAAATATTATAGCTATGCTTGGGATTTAAAGAAAAACATGAATATAATGAGAGAAGACATGAAAGACAGAGAAGAGAACGAAATAGGACTTCCAGAGCTGAAAAATACAATATGTGCGTGGAAAAATTCACTAGACAGGATTGACAGCAAACTCGACCTTGTGGAAGAATCTGAACACACAGCAATAGAAACCATCCAAACTGAAGTCCCCACGTACCCAATTACACAGCGTCTCAGATTTTTGTAAGACAAAATGAAGCGATCCAACATTGGTGTGACTGGAAATCAGAAAAGGTGGGGGATGTTCTTTAGTAAAAAAGCTGGAAAAATGGATTACCAAGAGATCTGAACTAGAAGGAAATGGTTAAGAGAATTCTTGAGGCAGAAGGGAAATGATAAAAGATGGAAATTCGTATCTACATAAAAGGAATCTCCTATTTTTGTGAAGTAACTCGCACAAGCCCTGGGTCCATCTCTGAGCTAAGTATGTGATGAACAGACCCAAGGGGGGATTAAAAACAAAAAAAAAAGCAGGGGCACCTTAGTGGCTCAGTCAGTTAAGCATCCGACTATTGATTTTGGGTCAGGCCACGATCCCAGGGTTGTAAGATCGTGGCCCATACTGAGCTCTGTGCTGAGCCTTGAACCTGCTCAAGTCTCTCTCTCTCTTTCTCTTTCTCTCTCCCCCCTTCTGCCCCTCCCCCTCTCATGCACTCTCTCCACTCTCTCTCAAAATAAAGAAATAAATATTTTTTTTTATTTAAAAATAAAAAAAATGCAAAGGCTTTAAAAACTGAACTGCTACATAACCCGCCACACAAATATCAAATTAACCCATGAGAGGTACATGCATGAGAATGGATCAAATAGCACAGGAGAAGATCTGAAAACTGAATTGACATTGGAACCTAATCACCCACAGAAGGAGAGACAGAATTTGTGTTCTAAACCTGAAGAGGGTGACTGCCTGCACAAACAAAAATGTCAATATTTTATAGGTGATGTTCACAGGATCTGGAATCTCACAATAGTCAAAAAAGTCACCGTCAAAATTACTGGAAATCCCAAACTAAAACAAAATGGAAGATAGTGACTAATTCTCAGGATTAAAAGACAATCAACAGATGTCAGCCCCATGAGCAGACTCAGAGATTGGAATTACCAGACAGACTATAAAGACGATCCAATGACCAATGACCATGCTCCATGAGATAAAGTGAACACTCTTGAAATGAATGGAAAGATAGTTTTCAGCAGAGATAGAAACCACAAAAGAGAACCAAATGGAAAGAGTAGATGTGGTATTGTTAAAAGCCGCTGGGTGGGTTCAATAGCAGAATGGAGAGTACAGAGGAAAGAGACCATGAACTTGAAGATAAATCAGCAAAAATTATCCAAGGTGCAGAACACAAAGGGAGGAAGATTGGGGGGGGGGGGGGAAGAAAAGGAGCCTGAAGGGCTTGAGGAACACTATCAAATGTTTAGATTTCATGTCATTAAAGTCTCAGGAAGAGAGGAGAAAGCGACTGGAGAAAAAACATTTGTATAACTAATATCTGAAATCCTCCCAGATTCAGTGAAAGACAAAATACATGAGGCAAAAACTGACCAAATTAAAGGGAGATCCAGATAGTTCTATAATCATACTTGGGAGATTTTAACCCCCTTCTCTGCACTGACAGAAAACTTAGAGGTTAGCAGGATCAGTAAGATATGGAAAATTGGAGATATGTATGTATGCATGTATATGTGTGTGTGCATGTGTGTGTATGTATATATATATATATATATATATCTTCACACACAGACACGTTAATATATATATAATTCTCTGTACCTATATTATTTAAGTCAGGGGTCAAGAAGCTACAAATGTGGTCCAAATACAGCCCACTGTCTATTTTTGTAAGTCAGGTTTCACTCATTTGTTTATGAATTGTCTCTGGCTGCTTTCATGCTACAAGGACAAGTTGTGACAGAGACCATGTGACCATCAAAGCTTTTGGAGTCTAAAACGTTAGCTATTTGGCCCCTCACAGAAAAGGTTGCCGACCCCAGTTCTCCAGTGGAATGACTCCAAAAGACACCTAGACATCCACAGCTATGGTTTCTTTAACACCTGTCTGCAGAAACTGGCCCCAGGCACTACAGGGGGGCCTCCCCAGCACGGCACACGAGGGCCTTAGTCTGAAACAGGTCATGTGCTTTAACAGGAAGTGCTTTCTACATATTTGTAAACCATTTAGAAAAAATATATTCTCTTCTTTAAGTCACATGGTATTAACTATTAGAGGAACGCCTACCTTAGCCTCTTAGGGTAGGCATGATTCCTCCTGAATGTGCAGGTGGGGTGGACTGTGGAGAAGAGTAGATCTGAAACTAACTTGTAACACTCAGTGGGCAGTGTGGACTTGTAGACTGAGAATCCAGTACTAGACCCGGATCTAGTATGAACCTGCCCATGCCTGAGAGACCTCATACCAATCATACAATATTCTCAGGCCAGAGTCACCTGCTTCCCCAGCCTTCCTTACCAAGTCACCCAAATATGCTCCCTGGGCTCTGGCTCCATCTAGCTTCCAGGCATGATGGTGGCTCCAGTACATACCTGCAGACGCTACTCTACAACAGCACAAGCCAGTATCACCTTAAGGCAGCTCTGTGGTGGCAAACACTGTCATTTTTAAAAACAAAATGTATTCAATGAAATAAAGTGCTTACCTGAACTATTAAAGTAATACTGCTGTCCTGGGTAATGAACAGGGGAGGGAAAATTGCCTAAATATGAAGGAAAACAGACATTTTAATTATAGCCATAAGGATTCCCCCACCCCAGCTTTACAGAGGTCTGATTAACAAATAAAAAAAACTGCATGTATTTGGGTTGTACAACATTAGTTTTTAAAAGGTATATAACATGATGATTTAATATACATATACATATGACATGACTGCTACAATCAAGTTAATTACCTAACACCTATCACCTCACAATGGTGTGTTACCATTTTGTGTGTGTGTGTGTGTGTGTGTGTGTGTGTGTGTGTGTGTGTGTGAACATAAGATCTACTGTCAGTAAATTTCAAGTATACAATACAGTGGATGTCTACTCACAAGTGGGATTGCTATATCATAAGGTGTTCTATTTTTAATTCTTTGAGGAACCTCCATACTGGCTGTACCAGTTTACATCCTCACCAACAGCACACAAGGGCTTCCTTTTCTCCACATCCTCCACCAATGCGTATTATCTCTTGTCTTTTTGATAATAGCCATCCTCACACTTCCCCATTTCGATCTGCGTCACAAAGTTACAGTAACCAAAAAGGTACTGGCATAAAAACAGCCACCTCGACCAATGGAACAGAACAGCCATAAGGCTTTAACTGATGATCTTGCCAACAATTCGGAGGTTCTTTATAACAAAGCCAAGGTCATTTCAAGTGATTTCTAACCAACTGTTAAAATAAACTCCCTTCTGTCTGGGCCTAGCCCTATCGGGAACAGAATATGGGAAACCCTCTACAGTTCCTTAGAGGTTCTAGAGGTTCCTGTTGACCTAAGAGGGTCTCTACCTCTAAAATAAGCCTGGGCTTAGAGGCTCCTGTACAAGTGGAGATGGTCTGGTGTCCAGAGAACCTGCTGCCAGACGACTGTTGGGGGAGCCATGGTTCTTACCCTTCTAAAGGGCCTTTCCCCTTCCTTGTCCCTAACAGGGCAATAGGACAGTCAATTCAGCACTACTGAAGGGAGGCGGTGTGGGGAGTAACAGGCAGGCACAACTTCAGTGTGATGCTCCTTCTCCAGAAGTTATCAGGCAGATGCACTTGGCTATTTTCCACAGGGCTCTTGGGTCACCTCAATTCTCAGGTCACCCTAGATCTTTCTCTGGCTTCACCAGAAAAAAGGCAGAGAGATTATAGGCTATTTGTAAATAGCACTGAATGTTTGTTTCAACTTTTAGTATCTAATTTTCTATTGTATTACTTTGAAAACAACATGATGTAAAAAAAAAAATAGTCGCCCAGAACATAAGCAAAGTTTCAAGAAGGAAAACTAAGAGTTGAAATGGTGTAATTGTGGGGAAAAATCCTCTTTAAAATCAAAACTCTTCCCTAAATTCTGCAAGAAAGCTTTACAAACCACTTCAACTTCAGATACACATAGAAAATGAGACAAAACATGGGGCGCCTGGCTGGCTCAGTGGGTAGGGCATGCGACTCCTGATCTTGGGCATATGAGTTCAAGCCCCAAGTTGGGTGTAGAAGTTACTTAAAAATAAAATCTTTAAAAAAAAAAATGAAACAAAACATTAAACTCGCAAGAAACATTCCTTTTCCCTTATCAGTACTAAGGCGCATTTGGGCAACAAAGCTCATTACTAGATTTCCATAATTAAGTTGTATCAAAAATAGAATGAAACTGGACATTTTCAATAAATGCAGTTCCCGCTGTCTCCTCCAAGCACACACACTGGAAACACAGTAATAAGCAAATGTAGGGAAATGGGAATCCGTTTAGATGCAACACAGCCTGTAAAAATCATCTGAAAGTGAATACAACCCCCTAATAAAGACGGCAGTGCAGTGCCTGGAAAGCTTTCTAATATCATGAATATTATATGGTTCTCAAGAATACCAGTCATCGGCACAAAGTGTGAAAACAAATTATTTATGGTTCAAGGAAAGGTAAAATAGTCTCAGAAGATTTCTTATGAATAAAAGATGAAATATTGGAACTCATATGGTCTATAAAACAAGTGTCTGCAAAATAGTTTTCCTATAAGTCAAACACAGTATAGCATTTTAAATTAAGAGGGCTAAAAAATTCATATATTCGAAATAAAATAAAGTATTTTCATTGAGCATCAATTTGACAGGAAAAAAAGCCAGAAAAAACAAAAACAAAAACAAAACAACAACAAAAAAACCCCCCAAACTTTTATAGGCTGAAGCCACGCTTTAAGCCATAGCACACTTGATTCGGCCACGCATGAATATGCATCTCACCCACCAAGAACCTAGGGGTCATTCTGAATTCTTGCAAATACTGGCCTGCATTTCGGTCCAGATTTTTCTTTTTTAACTTTGCCTTGCACATATATTAATTTGGGGAATATTACGGAAGAATGCATTATTTTAAATCCATTTTAGGGGTGCCTGGGTGGTTCAGTCAGTTAAGCGTTCGACTTCAGTTCAGGTCATGGTCTCACGGTTCATGAGTTCAAGCCCCGCATCGGACTCTGTGCTGACAGCTCAGAGCCTGGAGCCTGCTTTCAGGTTCTGTGTCTCCCTCTCTCTCACCTCCCTGCTTGTGTTCTGTCTCTCTCTCTCAAGAATAAATAAAAAACGTTAAAACATTTTTTAAATTAAAAAAATCTATTTTAGTTCTCTGCATTTTCAAGAAAATCGCAGTTTTCTGTGAGTTCCCTTAATGCTGCAGGTAAAAATACCACAATTTGTCCCCTAAGGAAGCTTCTGGTTCACAATCTGGGTTTGCAGACTCTTCTCTGGAGCAGTGTGGGGCACGTGTGCAGCCGGTGTTTGGCCTCTTGGTTTTAAAAAGAGCCTATTCGGGGGGCGCCTGGGTGGCTCAGTCGGTTGAGTGTCCGACTTCAGCTCAGGTCATGATCTCACGGTCTGTGAGTTCGAGCCCCACGTCGGGCTCTGTGCTGATGGCTCAGAGCCCGGGGCCTGCTTCGGATTCTGTATCTCCCTCTCTCTCTGACCCTCCCCCGTTCATGCTCTGTCTCTGTCTCAAAAATAAATAAACGTTAAAAAAAAAAAATTTAAAAAGAGCCTATTCGGGAATTCCTAAGCTGAACCACAGGGAAACTTGGGGTGGCTTCTGTTTCCATTAAAATTAAGATGAACTTCCAACCTGTTGTCAGGCCAAGGGTGTTTTGTTCTGTACCTGCACACATTTCCATGATTTTCTTCAGAGGCCCAAGAGTGTACATTAGTCCGACGAGAATCCCGGCCAGATGCCCAGCGAAAGAAGTCCTGGGAGAGAAGGAGGAGACCCTTTGTGAGTATTTGCTCTGCCGCTGATTAGACACATTCTGTCTTCTCATTAGGCCGGTGCATGTCAATTAGTCACAGTCTGCAGGCTTTGCCCCCCCCCACGTCCTTTACGCTGAGCAGCATTTAACTCTGTCCAAAGAACGCTTCCCACCTTAAAAAAAAAGTACAATGAATAATAACCACCACATGTTTAAGATGCAGTTTCCCCTCCTTGACCAAGAGAAGGGGGCTGGCTCCTTCACAGCAGTGGAAGCATTTTGTCAAGACAAACCCATCTGTTTCTTCCAGTTTTTCTCTGTGGCTCTTATCCCAAAACATAAATGAAATCCGTTTTCTCTGAATTACATCTCAAATTATTCAGGCATTGTGAGGCCCCATATCTCCCCGTGTAGCACAGCCGATTGCGGATTTTTATACACCACCGACAAGTGAGGCAAAGAGCAGGAGCAACCCGGCAGAGGAAACGGAGATGTCCACACCCCTTCCCCTAAAGTTGCCTTCATGTGTACCTTTCAGGCCCTTAGCAAAGAGAAAAAAATGTAAACGTCAAGCTTGAAAGACGAGATAGGGCATTAAATTGGTTCCATTCTTTTTTTTTCTTAATTTTAAATGTTTTATTTATTTTTGAGACAGAGAGAGACAGAGCATGAGCAGGGGAGGGGCAGAGAGAAAGGGAGACACAGAATCTGAAGCAGGCTCCAGGCTGTGAGCTGTCAGCACAGAGCCCCATGCGGGGATCAAACCCACAAACCGCGAGATCACGACCTGAGTTGAAGTCGGACGCCCACCCGACTGAGCCACCCAGGTGCCCTTGGTTCCATTCTTCTTAAAGTACCATCTGAGACTGGCAATCACTATAAGTGACTCAGCAAGCCACAGCTAAGTCTTTGTTGAATGAGTAAAAGAATAAACAAAGGTCACCTACTGTCTCCCTCCCTCCCCACACCCCCACCCCTGCTCTTGCTCTCAGTGCATCCCACACTCTGCCATCAGCTGTTCTAGAATGGTGGGTTAGCCATGTCACAGCCATCCGGTGAAACTCACTGACTCGTCTGCTTCCAGAGCACTCCAGCCCGCAGCCAAGGCATCCCAGCACTTGGCCTCGCTCATCCCTTGTCGCCACTCTCATGGCCCACTAAGTCCATCACTGCACCCACCACCAGACCCCCACGTGCTCAAAGGGGACCACAGGTTGAACTGAATGGCAGGCACCCCTTTCGTAAAAATCGTGTCCCTCCTTCCTTCCGCTGTCTTCCCTCAGCAATGCTGCTTCTGCCTTTACTATAGCATGTACTCGGCCTACCGGGGAGGGAAGTGTTAACTACACATTGGCCCGGCTGTCTCTCTCTCTGTCTCTGTCTCTCGCTCTCTCACAAATTCTCTGAGGGCACCAATGATGTCTTCTTATTCATCTTTTATGCTACATTAGAAACTAAAAAGAAACAAACAAACAAAGGGTCAAGTGTATGAATATTTCCACAGCTTAGGGAAGTGACCTTCATTCCAGAAAGTTATTAAGGAGCCAGATGTAAACTCCAAGAGCACAGTGATTTCTGTCGTTTCCACATATGTATGACACACCCCAAGGGCCATGCCTGGCACTGGAAGACACTGGGATGTGGGTTGAATGAACGATTCAAGTGTCCCAGGACACCAGGAGGCAAGTTAAACCCATTATATCTTCAACTCAGAATGCACCCCCTGAGCCACGGCGGTGATGGAGCTGAGGGGCTGACGTTTACTCCCCTACAGCAGACCTAGACTCAAAGCCAACACACGTTGCCTACCTCAGCAGCAACCAAGAGGGCAAAGGCCCTGGAAAATCACAGGCAAAACAGCCACAAGTCATTTTCACTGTCTTAGAGCTAGCGAGAAGACTTGTTAGGTCCCAGGAAAAGAAGAGACCATGGAAGGCTTCGGAGAAAAGACCAGAGGAAGCCGTCTACAGGCAGGATGGCACTGATGTTTGTTCCAGGAGCTAATTCACTCCCACCGTTGCCCGAAAAAGCTCCTGCCACGTGCACACGCACTGTCACAATGCGTGTGTGTCTGCATGCATGCACATACACGCTCGCCCCCCCCACTCCCACAATCATCCCTTCAAGAGAGCTATTATCTTCATCAGATAGATTCACCTACAATATGTGCAACCTGATAATAAAAACATAGGATCAGACGCTCGGGTTCCCATTTTTAGGGGAAGAAGAGCACGAGCTATGCTTTTTCTGAGCTTTTCCAAAAAAAATAAAATTGCGCTTATTTTGTTCTATTTTTAGGCTACATAAAACCCTTCAAATAGTTCTAGGAATGGCAGAGAAAGTGGTAGTTTGAGGGATACAAAGGAGAGGCCAGAATCAATTTTTTAAAAATAGTAACCTCGATTTCACAGAGAAGAAAATTGCATCAACATTTTTTAACTTTTTAACCCAATCTTCACGGTGAATCATATAGATACAAAATAACACGGGAGAAAATTTCAATTTAGAACTCCAACCTATTAAACAATCAATCCTGAACCTCATTTACAATTTAGAGTACAATGCAGTGAAATGAATTTCTTATCTCTCTAAATGAGTTTGCAGAAGTTTGAATTATAATCTGATTGTCCTCATGTAATTGCGAATAACTGGGGACGGAAAGCTGGCAGACCAGAGACCATATTGCACCATCATCCGACATTCCGCATTTTCACACAAGTCCCATCTCAAAACCCTAGCTGTCCTTACCATTTAAGCTCTATACGGGTGTTCATCTCTTAAAATAAGAGATGATGATCATCTCAATCAAAACTGAGGATTTTGCAACAGAACACACACAAAAAGGGACATGCCACACGGGAAAGGAAACCTAGGCTCATTCTGAGAGGCAGTTACCCTTCTCCATGCCGTCGGTAACCATCTGACAGACCGCCTCCCTCTCTCTCGAAGGGACACCCGTGTCCTGAGAGAGGAAATGGACCCGTGGGCAGGAAATGGGGCTGGAGACGTGTCTCCTTCCCAGCAGGCAGGGCGCCCAGTCCTAGCACCTGGCCACTTTGTCCCTGCCGCTTGGGGGTGCTGCGGGGCCACAAGGAGGTCCTGGGCTTTGGTAGAAGACAGTTAACAGCTTCAGAAGCAGACCGCGTTATGATCGTAACTATATACATGAAACAGACGTTTTGATGCCTGCGTTGTCCGAGGAAGCCCATGGTCTCATAGCATCTGTCCGCGAAGTATGTGCTCTACTCCGTTCTTAGTCACCCCCACAGGCTGATGCCCCACGTGGCAGGCTCCTAGGAACATGGCTTCTTCTGGGCCTGATTAGGTCTTAGGCTGGGACTGAGGATTTGGTGATGGCCTGCCACCTTCCATCCCAATTCAAAGTAATTCTCAGGGACAGGACCACCCTCTTCAACCCAATACCCGTGATGTTACCAGTGCAGTAAACAGCCTGACACTAGCACTCAACAAATTTCTGAAGGAATGGAGCAGTGGAATTAAAACTGCATATAAAATGCCCATTTCTGATATACGTTACAATTGCATTCTGAAAACACAAGTTAGGCACGGTCACCAATTAACAATTGTTTTAATATCACATCTCATCCAGACAGAAAATGATTAAACACAACACCCTCCCCATCCTGCATACTTAGACAATGTATTACACAAAACACCCTCTCGATTAACAAAACAGCAACACCAAACCTATTATTATATCCCAGAATTGGTCACTGAGAAGCTTTATTTCTTCTGATAGCTCAGTAGTGACTCCCTTTAGAAAGCATAACGGCTATAATCAAACACCGATTGATGGCAAGGTACAGTCACAGGGGCCAGGCGCATTGCTGCCATGTCCAGTCACACAGGTTGTGCACCACGCAAACAGACTACGATGAGAAGAAATATCATTTGTCTGGGGTCTCAGGCGTTTCACAAAGATCCAATATTCAAATTCAGATCATCACGTCTCAACTTCGCGGAAAGCACCCATGTAATTTCATTCCAGTTGGGGCCTATATCTTAATCCAGTAGTTCTTAAGATTGTTCAGGTTCTAAGCCCCTTTCAACGTCTGATGAAAGCCACAAATCCTGTCTGCAGGAAAATTACACATACACAAAATGTCACCTATAATTTTAAGAAGTTCGCGGATGGTTTGAATGCCATCCACGGACCTCCAGTTACAGACCCTTGCCTGAAGTGAAAATAATTCATCACAAATGGGAGAATTTCAAACACTAGCCCCAAGTCTAAACATTTCGTTTGTACTCAAATCCTAAGACAGGGGCAGCCTTTTGTTTGGATTACTTAGGTTTATTAACACGCCCCGTCTCTTGGCTGGGCTGCTGCTCTGTAGTGGTGTAACCTACTCCTAGATTCAATTTCTTCCCTGCCCAAATCCGACTGTTAGTCATTCTTCCAGCTAAAGCCTGAGAGTAAGAAATTCTGCTACTCTCTGTATGTCTGAAAAGATCTTTCGTTTCAGCCTCCCATCTGTCCAGAGGCACAGGATCAACCACTGCTGCTAAAAAAATCTCAGTCGGACAGTCCTTCATCTGTCTTTTCAGATTTTCTCTTTATTTTGGATACACTGCCATTAATACCACAACCACTCCAGTTGTAGACTTATTGTTTTGTACAACCCTGAAAAATCATTAGCCATTACTGTTTGTCCTGTAGATCTCCAGAGATGCAGTGCTGACACAGAACTGGGGCTCAACTTGTGTTTGTAGGAAAAAAAAAAACTAAAAAAACACAAAAAATATTTAAAGGTTAAAAAATCAAATCGCCGTTGGTGCACATCGCTTATAAGGGATAGTGATGGTAACTGTGGACCAAAACTGAGATGAAGGTATTACTGTGTGTTATATGTCAAATGTATTTCAATAAAGCTGGGAAGAAGATGATTGAGGATTTCAGTTATGCAAACTATATGCAGATATTATTAACACCAGTACAGAGGGTTCTTTCCAATCATGCCGGCATAAACTGCTTCTCAC